GATGTATTTGAAATACCAAAAGTACGGCTGGTCCTAGTTGAGGCATTGGGCCTCTCGTGTAATTTACAGAAATATAAAGTTCCGTGAGATGATAATGCAGATAACACTTCGTATAGCAGTAAGGGATGTGAGTCACGTATTATTCCGAGTATGATTACCTATACGGCAGTCGGGAGCTCCTGTCTCAATGCAGTTCTGCGCACCAAGGCACTAATCTCTTCTTTATAAACCCCGCTAAGACCAAGGTAGGAAACTCGATGCGGGCCATAGTTTCTACTTTGTCTTTATCTTTACTTCAATAAATCTATTACTTGAACACTTTACATCAAGCAGCTCGCATGGCTTAGTGGTAAAGCGCATCACTAGTAATGATGAGATCCTCGGTTCGACTCCGAGTGTGAGCATTTCTTTTTTATATTTCTTTTTTTGGCATGCTCTTTCTTCTTCCCTTCTATATTACAATTGTAGACACTTTTTAGTTTATTTTTTGTATCTTTTCTGGTCTTTTTTTTACTTGATATAGTCATGATATATTCACACAATATCAATTCACACTTTTTCCAACGATCGTTTCGTTATATATATTACCGAGGCGTGCCCCCATAAAAAAAAATGGATAGATCTGCATTCATACAAGAACCTGACCCCGATCATCCTAGCATGTATGAACGCTGGGGCTGTCGATCAGTCAGATCATACAGAGTACTACGAACATAAAATAAAAACGACCGTGACATCATTCCGAAAACAGTATAGACCATCACATGACCGGTATCTGACCCTCCAGGGCTGCCCCCAGGTTTTCTCCAGATTTCGGGGGTAATCGTGCTTCGAGTGTCAAACCTTTCATCATGTCCCAAACGGTGACACAAGTTGGGGGTGTTCGTGCTCCCTTCAACCCTTTGATCAACCCGGTGAATGCCAAGCCGGTCCTCGTGGAAGAGTAAGTCACAAACCAGCTCCGTAGGAATGGCGGGAGAGAAAAACACGTTGTCCAGGCTTCATCCCTTACATGATACCGTACTTCAAATTCAAGGCTGGCATGCTCTATGATGCCGGTTTGCCACATGACATACCCCCACATTCCTGTCCAACAGTGACAGCCCAGTTGACATTTTTGAAGACACATCGAGTCCCAACATGGGCACATCTTCCTTTCACGCCCTTACTTCGGCGCGCTCCTCTTCGAAAATACTTCTTCCGACGCCCGCGACCACTGCGCCAATGAGCGCACTTTCCTGTCATGGCTCCGTCTCTCCATGTATCTGGCCGTCGTATCGCTAGCCATTATCATCTCCTTTCATTTCCGCGATCAACCTACCGGCCTAGAGAGACGCATGGCCTTACCCCTCGGGATCGTTTTCTGGGTTCTGAGTTTGACCTGTTTGGCTAATGGTTTTGCGAATTACTCGCGCACGGTCAAGAAGTATGCGCGCAAGGCGGCTTTGGTGCAGAGTGGTTGGAAAACGCAGGTGGTCTTTACGGTCGTTGGGACGGTGATTTTGGGCAGTTGCATTTTGTTTTTGTCGACGGATCCAGCGCAGTAATGGTCATGGCGGGGTCAGATTTTTTTGAAATCATTTTATTAGCGCTGGCGTTGGCATTATTTTGGGGCATTTTAGCTGCTTATATTCATTGCATTCATGTAATTATTGTCTCGACTGGGCAAGGCCTTGCTGGGACTACCATGGGAATACTCCCGAAGAACCAAAAAACACGAATAATTCCATGAGCATGTATATTTTTGATTTCCTAAAAGTAAACCGAAAGGGTGAAAGATCTGAAGTGTCGTGAGAATCGTCTCGTGTGCAGAGGTATATTTCCATGAGTCGCGTAAAGGAGGGTTGCTCCGAGGAATGCAAAGATGGCAAAAGAAACATAGACCGAAATGAAACCGAAATATGCGATAGACTATGCATCGGCTTTTTACATTCGACGGATCTCCTGCTCGTTCTTGTACTTATCCAGGGCTGGTGTACCAAGGTGGCTCCACCACTCGAACAGCATAGAGTTGCAGATAAGTTTGAACCAGGGAGTAAATTTCAATCCAGGCTTTTCAAACATCGCCTTAAGCTCATCGGCTGAGACGTAGGTGGTGTCTCGGACCTCGTTGAGGCTGGGCTCCAGATCAACATCGGCCTGGATGAAGAGAATATAGTCCACTAGCAGAATGTCAGTGTTTCCATTTATCAAATCAGTTATACATTGCGCCATGTAACATACCTTCATGTTCACCCCACTTTCCGTCACTGGGGGCCTTGTAGTGAATTCTTGTGAAGAATTCGAACTTGTCCAGGGGTACCTGCTCTGCCTTAATGCCCAGTTCGTGGTCCAGCTTGCGCTGCGCAGCACGCTTCACACCCATCACGGCGGCATCCAGCTCAGCTCCAGTCTCACCAGGAATTCCAAGGGGGTGTGAGCAACAGGTGTTGGTCCACATGTCGGGGAAGGTGATCTTCTCGGTGGCGCGCTGTTGGAGCAGAAGACGCTTATTGGAATCGAAAAGGAAAACCGAGAAGGCGCGGTGAAGGAGACCCTTGTCGATGTTGGTCATCAAATGGCCTATGCAGATGCAGCTGTCAGTGGTTTATCTTGAATTTGGGCCTGTCACTACCCCGCCATTCTGTACATCCGTGGGTAATTATGGGGTACAAAACGTACAGATCTTCTTGCTGGCGCTTCCAATCGGCCGGTCATTGTTATCCAAAACAATGCAGACTTCATCCATCAGGCGGACCTGCTCTTCATCGTAGCCCTCAAGCTCACTGCCGCGCGCAGTGTTTGTTTGGCTTGTGGGGAGGATTTCACGGGCAAGCGATGTATCGACTTCGGGAAAGAGAGTGGCGACATTGTCCGCCGTGATCTCAGGCGGACTGGTGATTGTTGTGGTTGCGCTCATTTTGGCTGAAAATTGAAGTTGAAAAGAAAGTAATGAATGCGAACAAAGAGAAATCAGTGAAGGAAATGCATCGGGTCGAAGGCGGCAATGATCGGCAAATCCTGAACCCCTTGCCTTCGGGGGAAATCAGGTGGCTCTGAAGATCCAGCTGACACACTCTGTACTAAGACCTCAGCTACCTATGCTCATGGCATTACACATTACAAAAAGGGCTATTTAATGATCAAAAGTTGCATTCAAGGCTAGGCTTATGCGAATGTCAGAATCCGCATCACTTCACACTACCAGCCATCATGGGCAAGATAGCACCTTGATCACCTTAGTTCAAGAAGACTAGTCAACTTCTCCAATTCTACAACTTCCTCTGGCCCCAAAAGACCCAATTTTTCCCGCCGAGTTGGCGCATTCGGATCAAATACAGGCTTCTCGGCGAGCGAAGTCACCCGTGTTCCATGTCTAGGCTGGGATCCCTCATAATCCCAGCTCGCGTTATGGATCGTGATGCTATTGAAGAATAAGCCTCAAATCCGATAAGTCTCTCAGGGTATTGACTAACCGGTTATCCCACAAGGCACTCGTGTGTGGACTCCACTTAAACCGAACCTGGATATCAGGGTTCTTCTCATAAACGTCGTATAGGTATCCCAGAATCACATCACTTTCGGCCTTGTCAAGCCCAACAATTCGGTCTGTCATTGCCCGGTTCACCCACAGTGCCTTCCAGCCTGTAGCTGGATGAACACGGACAATCGGATGCTCTCGCTCCACATATTTAGGCCCTGCTTCCGGGTTCTTACGGTCGAGGTATGGGTGAGCTGAGCGGTAGATGGCAGTCCTTCCGTCAATCAACTTGCGGAATAATGGCGACAACTTCTCGTATGCTGCGTATCCACTCGCCCAGAGAGTATCACCTCCGACTGTCGGTACAGTGTCGTTGTGGAGATGAGTCACTCCGGCGGGCTGTCTCTCGTGTACGAGATCGCTATGCCAGCGAGACGCTCCTCCCGGTCGACGGAAGCTCGCAGGTGTCTCTGTTTCCTGCAATGCTGGCCACATCACACTCACGCCGGGAATGCCAGGGACATGGGGCACTTGAGGCTAAAGAAAAAAGAAAAACACCGTTGGTGATTGGCACATAGTTTCGCTGGATTGGACAAAACATACATGAATCTCAACCTCCCCAAACCACTCTCCCAGTTTCTTCTGTTGCTGAGGGGTAATATCTTGATCACGGAAGAAGACAACGCTTCGTTCAGCAATCAACAAGCCTAGCTCATCCTTCTGCTGGTCTGTCAAATCTTTCAGTTGCAACCCGACGATTTCAGTTCCAATATGTCTAGTCAACGGAATCACTTCCTTGGCTGCGGATAGAAGTGCTTTCTTCTCGGGATCGGCTCGGCTGCCGGGGTCTACATGGACGCGATCATAATCACGCACGTTGTAAACATCGTCAATATAGAGAGGACGAGATGGCCGGTATGGGTAGCCGCCACTAAGGTCAACCCCAGCTTTTTCTAAGCGTTCTCGAGCAGGCCCAGGAAGACCGAGAGTGTCCTTCCTGGGCACTGCGACGTCGACGATGCGTGAATCAATTGGAGCGGGAGCCATGGTAATAGATAATAGATGTGTGGAATTTTATGACTATTAGTCTCTTGTATTATATACATATTTTTAGAAATCTCGACCTTATTGATCGCACGTACTCCTGGGGTTTAAGCACATCATTGTCATCACCCATTACGCCTTTTATGAGTCAATGTCATTTTTTTAGCTATCTCTGGCCATTTCAAATCCTCGTTACCCCTCTTTCATGATCCGATGTTTCCATTTCCTCTCCATATAATGTATGTATACATAATGTATATGTTGTATGTATATGTTGTACTTGCCGTCTACTTCCGATACAAGCGGGGAACCAATGTCACAATCAACGATTAAAATCACGATCTCTGTTCGACTTTCTAATGCCGTTTGTTCCGGTAAGTAATTTTGGGTGCAATTGCGAAATATCAGCCCATGTTGTCGTTTGAAAGTTCCATAAGTGCGGGAACAATCCACGTAGACGTTAGACAAATCCCTTCTTTTTACTTCCGTGAAAGTCATGAGTGAGGCTACTCGAGTTGCTGTTATTGGAGCTGGTATCAGTGGGGTGGTCACTGCTGGCCATCTTCTGGCTACTGGAATTCAGGTGATCGTTTTTGAGAGAAACAATGCAGCTGGTGGAGTTTGGTAAGATCATTCGTCTATTTCCTATTTGAGATAATGGACTAAAATGTTGCAGGCTTTATGACAAGCGTACTCCGATTGAAGCCCAGTACCCATCACCGAGACCGTCTGCTTCACAGGAATATGTGAAGGATGAAAGGGGAGAAAACGAAAGAAAGATCTTACTTCATGCACCTCCGGGGTAAATCTCAACTTTTCATTTCTGTTTCACTTACATAGCAAGTCATACTTACCATTTATCAGGCCTTGTTATGAAAGTCTCACAAATAATGTCTCGACTCCCTTACTACGGACGAAACTCAATGCATGGCCAGAAGGGACTGGTCATTTTGTGAAGCATCATGTGCTCAAGGAATATATCCAAGATACGTCAACCAAGGCCGGTGTCGATAATATAACCAAGTATGGCGCCCGAGTCACCCGAGTTCATAAGGACGGGCCAACATGGACAGTTCACTGGAGCACTTTGAGCGAAGGTCAAGATCCCGTTGAGAATGAGGAGTCTGCAGTAAGTTTTCATCTCTATAATATCTTTCATTTTCATTTTCAGAACTGGGTTTGACCGGATTATAGACATTTGACTCGGTCATTGTTGCCTCAGGTCATTATCATACACCTCTCGTCCCAAATATACGGGGTCTACCCGATGCAAAAGCTCGATGGCCAGAGAGGATCTTTCATTCAAAGTCTTTCCGAAGATCGAAAGGATTTGAAGGCAAGGTAGGAGCGAACGCATTCTACTATTGAGTGACAGTAACTGACCGAACTACAGAATGTACTACTACTTGGTGGAGGAGTCTCTTCTCTCGATATAGCCAAAGAAATCAGCGGAACTGCAAACCACGTGTATCAAAGCACTCGAAATGGTGCCTTTGATCTCCCCGAGAGTGCACTTCCAGAAAACGCCTCAAGAATTGCCGAGGTTGAAGCATTCGAATCTTCTACAACATCGTCAGACGCCGAGCATTTGCCCTTAACCATTCATCTCAAATCCGGAGAGACCTTGCACGATATCGATACAATTATCCTTTGTACAGGATACCAAATGGCACTTCCATTCCTCGACGATTATAACAACTACGGCGTATCTGCCACCGAGGCAAGTGATAAAGTGCTTGTCACAGATGGCACTCAAGTCCACAACTTGCATCAGGACATTTTCTACATCCCAGATCCCACACTCGCGTTTGTCGGAATTCCTTTTTATACCGCAACTTTCTCTCTATTCGAGTTCCAAGCTATCGCTGTGGCAGCCTTCCTGTCTGGGGTTGCGCAGCTTCCATCTACTACGAGTCTCCGGACGGAATATGAGAACCGCGTTAAAAAGAAGGGACTCGGACGGAATTTCCATTCACTCAAGGATCAAGAGAAAGAATATGTCGATGAATTGATTGGATGGGTCAATACTGGAAGAGTTGAGCGTGGATTGTCTTTGATTGAGGGTCATACTGAGACTTGGATTAAAGAGAGAGAGGCTTTGAGCGAGAGACTTAAGTTGCTTCTGGCAGGGCAGCTTACCCGAGAAGATGCGCTCAAACCTCCATTGGAGGTAGGAGTGACTGCGTGAGGTATTTGAATATAGATATTGAAGATATTGTAAAATGACATCGCCATAGTATCTTCAATGTAGTGTCTTGATCATTATCTCGATCCAAGACTAGAGGCCCCATAAGTGACTATTGTTCTGATGAAGTTTACATTGGATAGTATCATAATACTTTTGAGCTGTATCCCCAGATGCTCCCAGGTAACTCGCTCCTTCCCCATTTTCTCTTCCTCTAACAGATAGAACGACCAAAACATTCGATAAGATGGGAAGTCTAGCTAAATGTACATGAAAGATAAATATCCAATTAGATATGAAAATATAGTATTCTTTTGAGGGGTCACATCATGTCCGATGTATATGACGAGCTTCACTGCATGGATGGTGAGTTTCTAGCGTGGTATGACAACAGCACAACAAATAATCCTCAGACTCGGTAAATCTCCGATTTGACTACTCCGTAGGCATCATGTTGAAACTCCTTGCAGGAATTGCGCGAACAAGCCGCCCGATAATTCGATCTGCTATGCCAATCACCCACTTAGTACAGAATATAAGCTTGAAGTATGATTAATGCGGCTTTAAGCCGGCTATATCTCCGTTGTTATGTCGATAACCACCTTGGTAAGACAATGCTAGGCTGGCCTCGAGAAGTTAGTACGTCATAAAGCTCGATTATCATCTGTAGGGTTTAGCAATTCTGAAACAAAATATTTATTGTTTTTCCGAGCTGCAGCTTATAAAGATGTTCTAAAGGCTCTAGTATTTTAATCTTTTTTTCTCACTATCTACGATACCATGTCGCTGAAATCCCCTACCGAAGCGGACGTCGATGTGACGCAGTTAGTTCAGAAAGAACCCAAGCGCAAATGGGTCAGTTATATTTGGGACACGTTTGACAAGTCACCAGAGGAGCGTCGCTTGCTTTTCAAATTGGACTCGGCCATTTTAACGTTTGCATCGTTGGGTAAGTTTCATTAAACCTTTCTTCCAGGCAATGCTAAACAGTTGTAGGATATTTTATCAAATATCTGGATCAGATCAATATCAACAATGCATTTGTCTCTGGAATGTATGGTACCATGTTAATATCCTAATCCCGAGTGTTTGATATTGACAACTCATAGGAAGGAAGATTTGGGAATGTACGGCAACGAACTCAACTACATGCAGACATGCTGGACTGTCGGCTACGTTATTGGAGAAATTCCTAGCAATATACTCCTGACACGCATTAAGCCACGATATTGGATTCCGGCTATGGAGGTAAGAGGCTTTGATTCTTTTTTTGCGCGAAAGCTGTATGCTTACACCTTAATAGCTTCTCTGGACGGTTCTCACAATGTCATTGTCTCGGTGTAACACTCCTACTCAGTTCTATGTTCTTAGATTTTTCATTGGTATGCAAGCAGAAACTAAGCACTCACTCTATTATAGTCGATCGTTAACATGGTACACAGGTCTCGCTGAAAGTACTTTCTATCCTGGAATGCAGTATATCATCGGTTCATGGTACCGGAAAGACGAGTTGGCAAAACGGTCATGCATTTTTCACACGAGCAGCGGAATTGCCAGTATGTTTTCTGGTTATTTGATGGACGCGGTTTTCCACCTCGGAGGGCGAGGAGGGTTCAAGGGTTGGCAGTGGTAAGAATCCAGATTTCCAAAATTTGGTTGCCTACTAACTAGCATCAAGGCTGTTCATTATCGATGGGGTTATTTCCCTGCCCGTGGCTATTAGTGGATTCTTCATCCTTCCCGATGTGCCTGAGATCTCTAATTCATGGTATTTGAGCAAAGAGGCAAGTTTTTATAATCCAAAGCCTTGCGCTATATGCACATACTAACATGGAAGTAGGAGGTCAATCTCGCCCAGGAGCGAATGAAATTGGAAGGAAGACGGAACAGAGAGCCTTACACAAAGTCAAAGCTGAAGAAAATCTTCACCTCATGGCACATCTATCTTCTAACCTTGCTTTATATGTGAGTTGAATACCTAGTTAATATAGAATCGAGAACAAAAATACTCACTAATTGTAGATGTTTCAACAATGCTGCCGCTGGAAGTCAGCCTATTTTCCAACAGTGAGTAATATCTGGACACCATCAACAAGCTTACCCTGACTCCTGGAAGGTTCCTCAAACACTCAAAAGATCCGGTATATTCAATTAGCCAGATCAATTCGATACCAACCACCACCCCAGCGGTTCAAGTTGTGACAACCCTTGCCTACGCGTGGTTATCAGATACTGTCCTCAAAGGCAGGCGTTGGCCCCCGATTATTTTTGGCGCTGTGAGTATAAAATCTCATAAGAATATCTAGAAAGTTCTAATACTATATCAGTGCGTCAACATCATAAGTTATGTCTCGCTCGCAGTTTGGGATATTCCGATGGGATGGAAATGGACTTGTTACATTATCAGTGGAGCTGGATACGGACTGAGTGGTCTGTTAATGGCGTAAGTCTCACAAATCTCTCAGGTTATTGAAGTGCAAATATTCTAACACAAGTACCACAGCTGGGCCCATGAGATATGCTCTGAAGATAACGAAGAGCGCTCCTTGGTTATCGGAAGCATGAACGAAATGGCTTATGTTTTCCAAGCCTGGCTGCCTCTTGTCGTATGGCAGCAGGTCCATGCGCCGGAATACCGCAAGGGGTTTATCACCGTCAGCGTTCTGTCTATTATCTTGATTATCAGTACCTTTGGTGTTCGTTTCCTTCATAAAAGAGAGAAACCGAGAAAAGGGTAAGTGGATTGGAAGTATATCATGTCTTTGAGGTTGTACCTATTACTAACTGATGGGGTATAGTAGGAACCAGATCCATGAGGCAGAGAAAACAGAAGATAGCTCCTCGGATTCGCGCGGAATAACCCCCATTGATCCAATTGAGACAAAGCCTACCAAGTCTTGATAGGTTAGTCTACGATATATGATGTCGAGTTTGGCAAACTTAGCCTTGAGCAGTTGTCTTTTGCCAATGGCTTTTCACAGATGCATCTACATGCTATTACTCCGTACGGAGTAGAGAATTCCTTATTCTAGTAAAAATCTTAACTAACCACTCCAGTGATCGAAGTGTGATGAGTCATAGTAGCTTGTGTGATGGGGTGATACCCTAGCATCCCAACAAGATCATCCAATCGGGTATCCAGTTCTCTCAGGATCTTTACACAAGTAAATTCTATCCCATAGAATTCCGATGACGTTTACCGATCTGACCATTTTCCCTGCATATCCAATGCCAGAGATCCTTGAGATGAACGCAATACCCAGGATTTTCTCAGATCCCTAAGCTCAGGGGTAGATGCTAAAGATATTCGGAATCGATAGATCAGGCTAGGCACCCGTGTGTGCTGCAAAGCCGTTGTCTTAGTGGCGGTACTAGTGGAGAGGGCACATTCCCCATAAAGAGCGACAAGTTGCAGGATTGTGATAGCCCTTTTGAAATTGGGCCCCATCACACAATGAGAGAGTGGGACAATGATTCCTTTGTTTCCCTGCGGATACGGAGGAGTATAGAGATCGGCATTCACCCTTTTTAGGTAATATTATCGAGCTTGGATAGTTCGGCTTTTTTTCCTTCTTTTGTTTTTTTTATATTTTTTTTTAGCTTGGGGCCATAGCTCCATGATTTTCATGATCTACAAATTGGAAGAAATGTGATATTCCATCAGCGTACTCCGTATACATACTTGTACTTTTGAGATTATCTCGGGGAAAGAGAGCTCAACCTCCTATAAATGGATTTTTCGGGCCCACTTGGAAGAAAATCTCAGGGGGGTAATCGGCCCATACCAAAGGGCAAATATTCCATAGTTTATGGACCCATTTTCTAGATAGGCGAACAGACGCGATGTCTCCGCGGCTGCATTGTAGGCACACTTCCAAATGGCTGAATGTCTTTTTTGTCTCCACTTGAGACGACTAGAGTGGAGATGGGAGCTTCGGTCAATAATGAAAATTGTTGAAAGGGCGAACGTAGAATGGATTCACTATATTTTTTTCGTGATAGCGTGTGATTGAGCAAGGATTAATAGATTGCAGGAAGAGGTCGGGGCTGGGGAAGTGAGACATAACCTGATGATACATCAGCGTTGAGCTTTTAGAAGTCTTTTTTTTTCTCAATATAGATATCGGGGTTTGCAGATTTAAAGAGCAGATCAATACACGAATAAGTTAGAGTTGTTTCACATCAGATTTTTCAAAGATCTGAATGTTGAAGATCCCTTCTTGATTTTAGCGTGTGATTCGGCGTTCTTTAGTGGAGCGCGGCAAGAGGTCGAGATTCAACGGGCCTCGGGGGTTCTCTTGAAGTTCCTATTTTTTTTCTCGTGGAAATAATTGTGAATATACAATTTCCACGCCCTGTTGAAGTGCAATTCTGTTCCAATGATCTTGACGATCTTGAGGTATTGGATGTTACTCTATACGGAGTACGGAGTATGGAGTCTCCTGTTACCCGCGCGCCAGCTCATGCAAATGATATCACATTGGAAGTGGGCCATATACGGGGTAAAATATCACATAGGAAATGCATTGAAAGGTTAAAACAAAAAGACCACCAATAATTCAAAATATTCCAACCAAAATGCATCATATAACAACCAAACAATGCCAGGATGTAGATGTGAATCCTAATAAGATTCGCATCCCAAACAAAAGTAAACACGAAGAAAAGCAAAAAAAAAAACAAAAACAAAACAAAAGCAAGTCCAAGGTCTGACCAGCAGATCCCATAATGGCAAAACCATGCAACTCGTGAGGCTCATAGCGAATGTGAACGATATTTCCCTCCGATATTCATTTAGACAATGCAAACGTGCAGACATGGGAACCTTTAATGTTAGCTAGCTGAGCGGCGATTCGATCGTTGACGAGGACTGGGCATAAGGGAAGATGGCTCAGCGTGGCCGGTAGACTTCCCAGCGCTGCGCTGCCTGTCTACACAATCATGTCTATTGCTCATATCAGCACACAAGTACACAACGAGAATCAATGTTCTGGGACCTTACCTAGCCAGACTATCCTGGCGACTGAAACGCCGGTCGCAACGGTCACAACTGTACCTCCGAAGTCCGAGATGAACCTAGAAGCCTCGTTAGTGTCTCTTATTGGATTTTTTGGTCTCCCTACTCACAGTGCTCATGTGTCTTTTGAGATCTGAGCTTCGTCCAAAAGTCTTGTGGCAGTCATTGCACGGATGGTTGTTCTTCCATTCGGGGTTGTGCATCTTTTGGTGCTCCTTACAGTTGGAGCGTCGGGTGAATTTGGCGCCACAAATCGGGCATTCCAGGCCACTGGCAGATACGAGCCTATCATTCGATGAGCCACGCTCTCTGTTGCTTGAGATGGTGGCACCATTGGTCCCTTCAGGGGAGGCTTGTTGAGGCACGACTGGTCCGGCGTTGATGCTCTGTCCGGAGGACCCGTCGTATCCCATCTCCTCCATCGCCCCAAGATAAGGAACATTGTTGACTGGCAATAGGGGCATCGTGGAGGGAATACACGCATCTGGAAACACATTGTGGCCCCATTGTCCGGCCCCATTCGCTACAGTGCCCGGAGTCACATCCGATGGCGTTGTCGGTCCCGAACAAGGTGTGTGCATCCAAGGATCGGTCATTTGGCTTGGGTAGACATGCTGGCCGGGGACCACCTCCATGGTAGAGCTGTAACTGGGGGAGGCGCTCATCGTGGGGCTGTAGAACCCTAGTGAAGTCTCCGAAGCACTGTTGGCGAGCCCATTGTAAACTGGTGGATAACATGTTGCGCTGGAAAAGTCGTCATAGGATAATGCGAAGGTGGGAGTTGGCATCCCAATTAGTTGTGATGGCAGTGTAGACGGGGGAGGGAAGACCCTCAGTTGACCAAAGGCATTCTCGATTTCGCAGCGGGAGATTCCCAGACCAATAGGGGAAACCCCTCCTTGGGATGAGGTAGAGATGGGAGACGAGTATGTCGATGTTTCGCAAGACCGTCTATCCTCTCTCCGCGGGGATGTGGTTGAGCGATGAAGTAAATCCTGGGTCGGATTCATATTGTAAAGAAATGCAAAGTAAGAAGTGTATTCCCAAACCAACGGCTAGTCTATATCCGAGTGAATAAAGGGCGATAAGTCCAAGTATATATAGTAAAGGCTTTGGGGGTCAACAGCTTCGCTGTTGGTGATTGACGGCAGCATACATCGGTGGCTGAGAGGAGTGTGGATAGGGTATGAATTCATTGGAGAAGAACTTGCGCCGCATCGACACCGACAAATGTTGAAGATTCAACGACTTGACGCCGTAATAGACAAGGCAGATTTGAAGAGAAAAGGGTCTGTAACTGCGGTGGAAGAGAAAATCGGGCGGGGGGGCATTAAGGGCCGGGTAAGTCTAGGTCTGAAGGGTTTAGCTCCGTCAAGATATATGTCATAGGCATAGGGCAAATTGTACAGAGTACAGCCTTTCAGGTTGAAGGTAACTGGTACATAGTACATACTCAGTACATACTCAGTACATACTCCATGCATAACGGCGGCTGTTGGGTTTATTTGGTAAAGGCTAACCATCCATTTCACCAGCGTTGGGCCTGGTCTGCCCAACCGAGACGTGTCCCATGCAGGTAGTTAGCCATACAAAAACATCAGCAGAGCCCGAGTCTCTGGATCTTGGCTTGGCGAGCATAGATGGCTTACCATGAGCACAGCCCTCAATGTATCTGACGAAAGGTTTGATTTCGAACCCTAAGTCGTGACCTCAGCGGTATGCGGGCCCTTCCGAACCGCTCCCTTTGGCTTCATGTATACCATTACGGTAAAACTCCACATTGACTCCACAGATATATGGCTCAGGACAAACTGTAGCTATCCAAATTCACTCTACTCTGTATATTTACTCACTTTCCCCCTTGTGAATGAAATTGGAAAGGAGAACTCTTGAAACGCCATGGACAGGGGGTGGAAAAGCCCCCCCCCCCAAAAAAAAAGAAAAGAAAGGAGAGAAAAAAAAAGCGAACCCCGAAAAGAAGACCAAGCCTGTTTTGATTAGGCTGTCATCGATATGGTCGTTCACAAGTATCTCGAACGGTTTGGAGTCGCCTCTCCACTAAACCGAACTAGCGCCTTTGGTGCAGGGGCGTGCGTGGCCCTAAGCGCCAGGGGAATGAACCCCTTTCTATCGCATTCTGATTCCCAAAGTCTTTTGTCACTTCGAAATTGCCTCCACTTGAGTTCGTAGTCGTTCTATTGTGTCGATCAGGTCCGCAAGCTGTACTTGGCCCATGCCTAGCTCACGCGCGGCTTGTTGATCCACATTGGGTTTTCCAGGGCCTAGCCGATTTGTTTCAACTACGGAGTGTGGGTCCTGGCTCCTGGGAGGGTTTGTAGAAGTACCTTGACCGCGTGCCGAAAGACTGTGTTTTGAGTGTCGCCATTTAGACTCATATGCCCATATCAATGCGACAAACGGGAGGTGGGTGGCTCGAAGTAAGACAATGCGTACGCGGCGAACTGTTCCAGCAGAGAGAAAAAGCCGCATGGGGCGGATACAGAGCAGAGGAATAAGATTCTGCCAAATATCAGCTTGGAAATATTCCAGAAAGAAAGATTCAATCCAATCAAACTCTAACTGACCAGAGGTGGCATGAAGTATGTCAGTCGTCGAGAATTGCTGCTTTCTAGGACATAAATGGCCAATCTGATTGGATTAAAATATGAAATTTTGCATGGGGGGGGGGGCAGTGCCAAATTTTTAGACAGGGATGTATACTTACTGGAAAAGATATTCTTCTCGGGCATGGCGCATCACCTATCAAAAGTGGAATTAATCAACGAACTCCGTGCGGAGAAGGTATTTACTTACCCCTTCAAGACTCATACTCATCAAACTAATCAAGGATGAGAGAATGAGAGTATTGGTCATTAATGCGAAAGTAAGCCTAGTTTTCTGTCAGTATCTTCATAACTGCATGGAAATTATAACAGCGAATTTGTCCGAAAAAAAGCCGGCATAGAACGTGATCAAGAGCGCATGCGAGTTTCCAGCGAAAAAAAAGGGAACTCACATCAAGCCATAGCCGAAGATGGGGGAGATCTAAAAAAACTAGCGTGTCAGTCAACTTAACGCGATAGCCAACCATTTCAATCCGGGATTGGAGCTGCAGAACAGCCGCCTACTTACTTCAGACGCGGTGTCCTATTATCCAATCAATTCAGCCACAGTCAATAAAAAAAAAAGGTCAGGTCAAAGAGTTATGAAACCCACTAATCCAAGAACACTCGATCTGTGAAATGGTCAGAAATAAAAGAGCGGTGGGATTATTTCACCGACATACCCAAAGAACACCTTCACTAATAAATGTGACATTGTACTGAGTGATAAGCGGTCACGAGCAAGCATGGTAAATGTGGTCAAGAACCCTACAGGGGTTCAGTGTGATTCATTTAGGAGTTGCTTAGCCACACTTACCAATATACAATACTACTACCACAGGGAAAAACCTGAAGAATGCTTTCGTCTGAAACAAATTCTCAATCAGCCTTGGGTCCTCATGCCATTTAAGGATTAGGGAAAAATCGCACCATCTCTTTTAATACCGGTATCTATTCATAGTCAGTCAATCCTTTTCTAGAATGTTACATGCATGATCCACTTACTAGACTACCGAAGTATGAATTCAAGCTCACAAGGGAGCAGATCCTGTTCCGTGTCAGCCCTGTCGCCTAGAGATTAATTAAATAGCCATACCTCGGGACAAGAAATAGAGCCTCAAGGGATAGGATGTCGAATGAGAGCTCAATAATGGGTTTGTCGCCCTTCGCTAGCCCGATGACCCCTGTGGCGTCCTCATTAGTCGCACTATTGACAAGATGACCTGCGAGCAAGGAGCCGCAAGGCAGATTGAGAACACTCAGTGACTCACTTGTTATGACAAAGGCCATTCCAACACCAATTATGCTCAGGTTCCAGAGACTCCAGAACCCCATTTGGTAGAAAACGACACCGGCATCAATGATTCCACTCAATTCATCGTACGCAAAAGCGACGATCCATACATACATCACCGCCTCAAAGAGGCCAACGGCCTCTTGTCTCCTCTCTACGAGGACTGCGTAATAGAGAAAGAGGAACGACATGAAGAATGCTGCTTCAAAGACTTTCCGGTACAGAGGTACTCTCAGGCGTGAATATGGGTCAGCCGTTCTGAAAGAAAAAAGGTCAGTATCTCTATAAGTCTATTTCTTGTCGTGTCTAACCTTCTGTTGAAAATATGAGGTTTTTTGGTTGAATTGACTGTCAGAGAATCCCAGAAAACGATTTCACCCTTCCAAATACCATCGACCACCCTTTGAACAACTCGTTGGCTCAAAAACCTTTTTGCATGGGCAATCGTTGCAATCTCCAGTGCATTCAATCCGAAAAATTGGGAGTATCGCTGGGCAGCATAGGCCTCGTGTCGGTTTGTATCTTGTGAGGTTCCAGGTGACTGAGTCTCCACCCTCTTGCCCCCAAAAAGACGGTAAAAAGAGGAGTTCGGCAAGAGAGGAGAAGTCTCTTCATAGCTTGTATCACCTTGGGTAGATGCCAGGCCAGGGTTACTCGCTTCGGATTCAATGATATTTGCCGAACCACGTCGCGGTGATGGTAGCTCTTCTAATAGAAACTCAATTGTCTCGCGCTGGTTCAAGTGACACAGAAATTGCCAGGCAACAAATTCGCAGGCTGCGCCACGACTCTCATTGAGTCCCCAGTCATCCTCGGTAGCAGTGGTGAAGTCCCATTTCAGAATCCTGGATTTGTTAACCACTTGACCTCGGGAGTTCCAGGGTCCTCTTTATGGTGAACTTACATCAATGCCACGATGATAAAAGGATTGTGAGTATCCTCTGCCAAAGCGTGAACCAGTTGTCTAAGCCGGTGTCCTTGGGAACCGTACAGCATTTGCTCAAACGTGTAAGCCATTTCACCCACGGCCATGCTAATGAAGCTACAGGGGGCGTTAATTCTGCTGAACCAAGAGGGCAGACAAGACTTACTTGAACAGCTTGGGAAGGACATCGAAAAGCGGCTCATCAATTTCGATCACCGGAATTTCCGTATGATCCATGTGTGAATCCATCTGGAGTTCTACTTTGATTAGCGGGTCTCCCCCGTGGCCGCCCCCCACCAGAACCAGACATACCGATATTGATTGAAGAATGGTGAGTTCGAGAGTTCAGGATTTCTTTCTCATTAAATTTGGTTGTTCTTTTTATCCTATGTAGCGTATCTCTCCTTGGGGATAGGGCAGAACTGCAATCAAGACCGAGGTATCGATGAAGGGTCCATGTTGTTTGATCAGGGAGGTTTCAGTTGGCCACAAATCACACTGTAGCAATGACCTTTGTCGGTATTAGAGATAAAATAATTTCACAACATTTAATATGAAACAAGAAGAATCGCAAGAGGAAAAGGCGAGCTGAAAGTTGTCGATACGTTGCTGACCGCCTTGTGCACGTGTCGACGCGTCCAGTGACTTCATCGTCAACTTTCCTTATCGCATAGCTCTCACCTGTAATCTCCATCTCATTTACTCGATCTCTGACTCTGAATAACCATCAAATCTCTAGCAGGGAGATGAGGGGCAGTCGACACCATGGGACAAGGCTATTCCCTCACAACCCTGTCCGCGGGGTCGGCGGGCATCGATGTGCCTGAACTGTCCGATCTGGTGTATGAGAAGTCGATGGGGGGTGGTAGGTTCATGAAAAGCATTCGTGCAAGGCAACCAAACGGTCTGGTGTTTATCAAGGTTATCATGAAACCGTTTCCAACCATGGAGCTGGAGCCATATATCAAAAACATTACGTGTATGTTTGGATCCTTTTCTCTATTTCATGCTTCTAATGTCTACTTTAGGGGAACGAAAGTTGTTGTCGGATGTGCCAAATGCGCTAAGCTACCAGAGGATCCTTGAGACTGCCACGAGTGGATACCTTGTACGCCAATACATCCACAGCTCTCTCTACGATCGAATGAGGTATGTCTGTCGCAATTGCTGCCAGCGAGCAAAGCCTGACATGGATGTAGCACACGGCCTTTTCTAGAGCATATTGAGAAAAAGTGGATTGCCTTCCAGCTCTTGTGTGCTCTTCGAGATTGCCATTCACTGGATATCTACCATGGTGACATCAAAACAGAAAACGTTTTGGTCACAGCCTGGAACTGGCTGTATCTTTCTGACTTCTCATCATCTTTCAAACCGACATTTCTCCCCGAGGATAATCCGGCAGATTTCTCTTTCTTCTTCGACATCTCCGGGAGGCGAACCTGTTACTTAGCCCCCGAGCGATTCTGTGTTGCCGGGGAAGAACCCAGTGAAAGCCGCGTCAACTGGGCGATGGATATCTTCAGTGCTGGTTGTGTCATTGCCGAGCTCTTTCTTGAATCGCCGATCTTCAACCTAAGTCAAATGTACAAATATCGCAAAGGGGAATACAGCCCAGAGCACAGTCAACTGGCAAAAGTCGAAGATCCGGACATTCGGGAGTTGATCCTGCATATGATCCAACTCGAGCCCGAGTCTCGGTACTCGGCTGATGAATATCTGAATTTCTGGAAGGGCAAGGCCTTTCCAGAATACTTTTACAGTTTCCTTCACCAATATATGTCCCTCATGACCGATCCTTCTTCCGGGCGACCAGACGTGGATGTGGAATCAGCCAACCGAGGGGAGGCGGACGAACGAATTGAGCGGATTTACCTAGACTTCGATAAAGTATCTTACTTCCTCGGTTCTAGCACCCGTGGCGTTGGGGCTCTATCTAATATCCCAACCTCCAAATTGACAGGCAACACTCTTCCTGTGAGGCTCGATCTGCCAAATCGTGAGACCAAAATTTCGGCACCGCAGTCACAGCCAGACGATGGTGCTCTGATTTTCCTAACACTTGTGGTATCCAACTTGCGAAATACAGCCAAGGCATCGGCTCGAATCAAGGCTTGCGATATCCTTCTTGCATTTGCGGAAAGGTTGTCAGATGAAGCTAAATTGGATCGCATTCTTCCATATATCATGATCTTATTGACTGATCGGACTGATACCGTCAAGGTCGCTGCGATCCGCACCCTAACCCAATTACTGAAAATGGTCCAGGTGGTTTCTCCAGTCAATGCCTATTTATTCTCCGAATACATATTTCCAAGACTCCAGCCATTTATTGCTACCCCCAACAGCAAGTCAAGCGCCATGGTGCGTGCCGCATATGCCTCATGCATTGCGTCTTTGGCCCAGTCGTCCTTGAGATTTTTGGACATGATTCAAGCATTGCGTTCTGATACCCGGTTGGCTGCGTTGATCCCGGTCGGCTTTGAGCCCCGGTGGACTGAGGATGCGACTTATCACAATCTCTACGACGTGGCTCGGGTCGACCTTCTGGAATACTTCGAGGTTCACACAAAAGCGCTGCTAACAGACCCGGATGCATCAGTTCGGCGGGCCTTTCTGGGCTCTGTGTCCAGCCTCTGTGTCTTTTTCGGCAATCTCAGAACAAACGAGGTTGTCCTCAGTCATTTGAATACCTACTTGAATGATCCAGACTGGATTTTGAAATGCGCCTTTTTCGAGGCTGTCATCGGTGTCGCCGCCTACGTGGGGAGCCTGAACCTGGAGCTATACATATTGCCTCTTATGGTTCAGTCCATGACCGAGTCCGAGGAATTCGTCGTTGAAAGGGTGATTCGATCTCTAGCAGCTATGGCTGACTTGGGCTTATTCCAGCGATCAACAACGTGGGATCTCCTGAACATGACTGTTGGATTTTTGGGGCATCCGAACGTCTGGATTCGAGAGGCAGCAGTCAAGTTCGTGGTTAATTCCGCCAAGTTTTTATCGATAGCGGACATTCATTCCATCCTGACACCCATTATCCGGCCTTTCCTCAAAATCAAGATAGTTGTGATTTCGGATACCCAATTGCTCGATGCACTCAAACGACCAATGTCAAGAAGTGTGTACGAAACGGCCTTCCTCTGGGCTTCCAAATCAGACAAAGGTGTTTTCTGGAAGTCACCAAGTCGCGAGGGTATGTTCAGCTTGTCTGAGCCTGGATCATTCAGTCCCCGCGTGGGTCAACGGAATCCTTCCTTTAATATGGCCGCTCAGTCGAGAAATGATGAGGACGAACAATGGCTTGGTAGGTTGCGAAACCTCGGGATGGGCCCGGAGGATGAATTCAAGCTCCTCGCACTCAAAGACTACATCTGGAGGGTCTCATTACGGCAATCGAGAGAAATCGATGTCAATTCAATAGCACCTTTGAGCGACATTGTCAGTCTGACACAACATGGAGTCAAGCCCCAGACTGTGTTCTTTGATAAGGAAATTAAAGATCAGTCGCGAGCAATCTCAGACGTAAACAATGGCACTGTCGACGATCCAAGGCCGAGAACAATCGCAGATGCTTTGCTTGATGCTTCTACAACGATTGAGCGAATGCCCAGTGCCCATCGCAAGCACTTGCGGTCGAAAAGCCAACTTTTGAAAGAAACAAGGCGTGCCTCGGGTGTTCCTATATTGGACGGAAATGATACTTCTTCACTATCATCGTCTCCAGTGGCGTCATCGCCTGCTGGAGGACCTGTGTCTCGTCCATTGTCCCCTCCGAGCTTTGATAATGATCGAAGGCTTTCCAGTCACCAACCGAGTGCTGGAGAAGACGGCTCATTGACACCAACTAAAGCAGACACCAGAAGTCTATCCGATCGTGTGCATAAAAAGTCTAGCGCGATGAGCTTGTTGAGTCGGAAAGATAATGCGAAAGCTTACGCCGAAACAGGCACAAGCTCCGCAAACGCCTTTGGAAAGGTAGACGCACCGGTCCAAAGAGGCGGCACACCCCGACCATTGACACCCTTGCTCTCAACTGAGCACAAAGCAACCCAAATGATGTCGCAGAAATACCGTGCTCACCATTCGTATGGGGGCAACGACCCTGCCGTTCTGCGACTGCTAGACAATGTCTTTGAGGAAAACTACCCGACAGACCTATTTGACCTAGGGCCATATGTCAAAGAAGTTGATACTCGTCAACCGATTCGCAGCGCCACTGATCAAGAGCCAATTAAGATCTGGAAGCCCGAAGGGAATCTCGTCGCCACTTTTGGCGAGCACAGCGCGCCAATCAATCGTGTCGTTGTAGCGCCAGATCATTCATTCTTTGTTACCGCGTCCGATGATAGCATGGTGAAGATTTGGGATACAACTCGTCTTGAAAGGAACTTGACCCCTCGATCCCGTCAAACTCACCGTCATGCAACAGGCTCGCGTGTGAAAGCCTTGACATTTGTTGAGAATACCTACACTTTTATAAGTGCGGCCACTGACGGCAGCGTTCATGCCGTTCGAGTCGACTATCAAAAGGTCAGTCAGACGGCTGTCCGATATGGCAAGCTTCAAATTGTCCGCGAATATCAGCTTTCCATAGCCAAAGACGGATCACCTGAATATGCAGTCTGGATGGAGCATTTCCGCGACGAAGGGCAGTCCACCTTGATTATTGCGACCAACACTTGTCGCATCATTGCGTTGGACATGAAAACCATGCTGCCGATCTATACGTTGGAAAATCCAGTTCACCATGGAAATCTAACGACATTCTGTTGCGACCGTAGGCACCACTGGCTACTGGTCGGCACAACCCATGGGATCCTCGACCTATGGGATCTCCGCTTCCGCGTGCGGTTGAAGGCATGGGGTCTTCCAGGCTGGGGTGCTATAAACCGGATCCAACTACATCCCGTCAAGGCCCGCGGACGCTGGGTCTGTGTATCCAGTAGCGGTAGCCACGGCAATGAAATCACCGTGTGGGATATCGAGAAGTTCCGCTGTCGCGAGATTTACCGAGCGACCCCACTGGGCGTCGGCCCCAATGGCCCCAATGGCGTCCATCACCCTTCTCGCGCCCCTCACGCCTACCCGACGCCTATCGTGCCGAGTGATTACGAAGCGTGGCGGGTCGATGGCGATCGGCCAGAAGGGATGCTGAGTCGCTTTGCAACAAACGGCCCTGAACCGGGTACCCCATCTTCCAATAATCCAGCCGGTGATCGACTCGGCATCTGGGGGTT